ATTCAATTTGTCGAGCTATCTTCGAAAGACTTTTATTGAGCGTTTATAACGCCTGTAAAGGCTACGCCTGTAAAGGCTGCGAAACGTCAATAAATAAATAAAATTTCGTGCATTAACCCGTAAAAACTAGTTTTTACACTAGTTTTATTTAATGAGTGATGTGTGTGAAAAACCTAAGAAACAAATATGATAACTATGTCATTCAGCAATATTTTATCGATAGCAAATACTATTGATTATTATCGATCATCCCTATAGATCAAGGTGGACCGACGATCTTGTGAAGGTCGCGGGAAGCTGATGAATGCGAGTGGCGCAGGACCGATCGGTGTGGAGATCCTTGGGGGAGGCCTATGCTCAACAGTGGGCGTCATACGGCTGACATGATTTATTTATTTATTTATTAGGACCACCAGTGAAAGTTACATTAAATCTTATTTTTAAACATTATAGTGATACATACAAAATGCAAAATTCTATTGAAGGTAGCCACATCATGCTTAAGAGACAGTACGAACGGATGAATTTTAATTAAATAAACAAACAGAAACACAAACTGAAACCACATGTAAATAATGAAGTTTATGAACTATTAGTGGTTTTGAAACTATAGATAATAGAAAACGAATATATATATAATTACTCGATATAACAAATTTAACGACAAAAATAAAAATAAAGTTTGCCTACGCATCTCTTAATAACTCTGAAACTTTAGTCCTGAATCGTAGAAAACAGTCATGGAAATGGAATGATGAACGATGAACGATGATCCCTATAGATAGGGGCGTAGAGAACAATACGGCCAGTCAATATGATCTCAGCGTTAGAACTTTATTTGAATGTTGAAACACACACGACAAGATCGTGAGAAGATTTGTTTCAAATGGCGTATCTAATGCAATTTTGCGATGCACCGACAGTGACCCCATTTTTGAGTGTCTCATCACCTGCCCAAGGTCCGTCCGTTCGTCCACTCCCAAAATTACAAGCGTGAAACCCACCCACGCGTGCGGACGACCCACTGGCACACTGTAATCTCATGTTACCGTATTATTGTGTGAAATCAGGAATTAGGTTTGGTTGAAGGACATCTGAAGTTTGAGAAATCACTTAAACAGCCGTGCTCTTATGTTATTTGAATGGACATGTCAAATTTGTATGAAGGGGGGTTGTCAGTCTCCGACAGACTCCAATTTTGTATGACATGTAGTGCACTTAATTGTAAATCGTTTGACAAAAAATTAGAATACATTTTATCTTATTTTTTTTTAATAATTATTATAATATAAAACTAGCAAACCAGTGAACCAAATGTTCACCAAAACCTGATTTAAAAAAAAATGTATTTAATTAATTGAGAACTTCGGAGATTTTGTGTGGTTTCGTTTGAAATTCGTGATTTCTCGAAAACCGGAAGTGCTACGTTACTCAAATCCGGTTTGTAGTCTTATCAGACTATTCTTATACATTATATTCTCTTTATCTATCTCTTACGGTTTGGCCCCTGAAACAGCACCACAGACAGACAGACGGACGGACTTGTCTAATTGATAAGAGATTATATAATTATTTAATGGCAAATGACAAGTTACTTTATTTTTTTTTTTGCTGCCAATACATCTTTTTTTTTTAATAGCCAGGTAGGCAAATGACTCTGCCCCACCTGATGTTAAGTGATGATTAAGTTAAACCAAACGCGAACGTAGCTGGTACAGCAGTTATAAACTCCCACACCAGCCATTCTCACCTTACCGACCTGAAGAAATGCTTCTTCACGCCTCTCTTAAAGGACCCCAGATTGTAGAAAAGGGGGAACACGTGCGCGGGCAAAGAATTCCACTTGCGAATAGTACGACAAAGAAATGAGTCACCTTTATTTATTCGTGTATGAATAGTGGCCACAGTAAGTCGGTGACAACGTAGGCCAGCGCGCGTGGTCCTCTGAAGAAGAGGTGAAGAAAGGATAAGGGGGAATAACTCCTCAGAACACTCGTCGTGGTATAGTCGGTAAAATGCGCTTAATGATGCCACATCGCGGCGTAATGAGGGCTATCGCGTATGAATCCGCCGCTAGAGGCGCTAGTGTAGCGTGAAGTCTCCGAAATGTCAAATGTTATTGCTTGTTGGTTGACTACGCGGGTTTATTTCTTATTAAAATAATGTTGTGAATAATTGGTAACGTATTAATAAACTTTAAAAGTTACAATTTAGGACCTCACTCAACAGTGGCGCCATCTGGTGAGACAGAAAACGGTAGCCCTCATTGTAGAGACTCGAGTTTGTTAGTTACCTCTTCATCGCCAATGATGCTGGCAGCGCGCCGCTGTAACCTATCCAAGGCATCGATTAAGTACTTAGCGGAGCTATCCCGGAGGTGTGAGCAATATTCCACGCAGGACCGCACTTGCGTTTTGTACAACAAGCACAGTTGATCGGGCGTGAAAAAAAGCCGCACCTTGTTCAGGACTCGGAGTTTGCGTGAAGCAAATCTTTTTTTCAATTTTGAAAATATATTGCATTCAATAGAGGTAACTAGTGATAATTATTCTGTTTATGTTTCATTACATTATCAGGTAGTTTGTGGGTATTATATTTCAAGAAGAATCAATCAAAAATATGTATAGTAGTGTTGCCGACTTTTTATGATAGATTTAGTTTTCGAAGTGTTTTTAAAGTTTTGACATAATTATGATTTTTGCTATCAAAACTGTTATTGTGTTCTCGTAGTCTTTGTGCTTTGATATAATTTTGTGTATTAATTTAAAATAGTGTCAATAAACCAATTGCGTCCAAAATTCTAGCCTTCATTTTCCATTCCACTAGCTCTCCGCTTTAAATAGGTTCACCACGATTTCACGAATATCAAGCATTTTTGGACTGATGGACACTTGCCATAGCCATTTTTAGCAGCACCAAAGTTGCGTATAATTCTATAGTTTTGTCGTACAAGTTCGTTTTAATGAATTACAATGGCATGCTAGCTGCGGTTTAATAAATATTGTCGGTAGAATTTGATCAAAGTGTACAGATTTTATCATAAAGCATAACATGCGTTTTGTCCGTTTTGTCCCTGGTCAGTGATGTGCCTAGCAATGGCCACATTATGCGCTGCGCGTCCCTCACACCGGACGATGATCTTATGATACTTTGCAGTGTTAAGGTGAACGCAGACTTGGCCGCACCGCACTCGCCGCAGTCTGCGCATTTGAATCTATACTAATATTATAAAGCTGCAGAGTTTGTTTGTTTGTTAGAACGCGCTAATCTCTGGAACTACTGGTCCGATTTCAATGATTCTTTCAGTGTTGGGTAGTCCATTTATCGAGGAAGGCTATAGACTATATTTTTTTTTCAAAATTAGGGATCCGTAATAAAATTGCTATTTTGTAACACAAGGTGTAAAATCTAAAACCTATTTTTGCGTGCGCTGCATAAACTATTGACAATAGAACAAAATGATGTACTACGGGTTTGTAGATCCCATTAAGACCTACAAAAAAGTATGCGAGAACATATATCTAGCTATCATGGTTTAATCACAATAACCGATTTTGTGTTCAAAATAATTATTAAATCATCTGAAAAAAAAAGCTACGTTAAATATGTATCGTAATATTAATCTTTATCGAAATTGAGCATTATGTTATCAAGAGTATTTATGTAGAAGTAAAATACTTTTCGTTTCATCTCAATCGGATATTTCGTTTAAAAGTTATCACGTGTGTAAGATGTTAAGAGTTGGTACCTATTAATGAGTTATGGGCCATAGAGTTTTTTATCAACATAAAATCCTATAATAATCTTTTTCGAAATATATTTGTTGATGATTGTAAGTATAAGATCTTTGAAGAGTATAATAAATCCATTTCTAAAATAACTCTAGGCAATATTTTATCTCGGTATTTCCACGGAAACGAGAAAAACGCGGGTGAAACCGCGGGGCACGGCACGGCTAGTTCTTTATATGAAGTTCAATGCAACCTCGCACATCCACCCGCGTCGCAGTCGCCGCAGTCCTTGAAACGACCGAACTCACCAAGCCGCAGCTGATGACGTCACCAACGCCGACCCGCACGCAGCGGACGCTGCAGCTAGCGCGGCGCGGATGACGTCATTCGCATTCACGGCTTTTCTTTTTCTTCTTCCTCTAATAATAAACAACTGATAACATTTCGTCATTTTGTTCGTCAATAGCCATACTGTAATACACGCTCACACTTAATTTATATTACAAATTGAATGAAAGAAATCAAGTGCGATGCGTGCGGCGACGGGAACGACTGCGGAGACTGCGGTGCGGCCAAGTCTGCGTTCACCTTAACTGTCACCCGCATACCGACTCTAGTGTGAATCATCGTGACATTGCATGCATTTTTTACTCTACACTACAACTACGACTCAGCGATGCGATGACGCGAAATTTTGCTAGTACATACCTATGGAATAATTTTATGTACCGCATCAATTTACTGCGCGCTGCCGGTGCCGCGGGCGGTGCGTGCTGGCCAGGCAGCGTGCCACCAACCAACACATTGTCACCTGGCCACCGTCAGCCTGCAATGAACGCTTACCCAACGAACTGTCTGTGCGAGCGCTCGTCCAGCGTGCGCACGCCGCGCTGCCAGTGTCGCGGGCGGTGCGTGCTGGCCGGGCAGCGTGCCACCAACCAACACATTGCCACCTCGCCACCGTCAGCCTGCAATGAATGCTTACCCAACGAACTGTCTGTGCGAGCGCTCGTCCAGCGTGCGCACGCCGCGCTGCCAGTGCCGCGGGCGGTGCGTGCTGGCCGGGCAGCATGCCACCAACCAACACATTGTCACCTGGCCACCGTCAGCCTGCAATGAATGCTTACCCAACGAACTGTCTGTGCGAGCGCTCGTCCAGCGTGCGCACGCCGCGCTGCCAGTGCCGCGGGCGGTGCGTGCTGGCCGGGCAGCATGCCACCAACCAACACATTGTCACCTGGCCACCGTCAGCCTGCAATGAATGCTTACCCAACGAACTGTCTGTGCGAGCGCTCGTCCAGCGTGCGCACGCCGCGCTGCCAGTGCCGCGGGCGGTGCGTGCTGGCCGGGTAGCGCGGCTCGGCTGCGGCCAGCGCCAGCAGCGCCACCACCGCCACCAACCACCACATTGTCATCTTGGCACCATCACCCTGCAATCAAACCAGCTAATTAGGTTCAACGATCAGAGCCAGCGTCAGGAGGTATAGAACGTCGTGAGCTAACTAGCGAGATCTACGGCTGACATTTTGGGATAATCTGTCATCCGCCATGGACCAGCTTCACCTCTCTGGGGGAAATGTCCTATGTGAACATCAACAGTTTCCGCCTTTTATTTCATTGCAAACTTTCGGGAACAGAGTAAATAAAATTTTGATCACCCATCTTACGAACAATCATTACGTAAGTTGCTAAACATCTAAGATCGTAGACCGGTTGCGATAACACTGCACAATCCGGCTCGTTCTATTTAAATGTAACTCAACTAATCTTTCAGTAAGTAAACAGTTAATATTTCACCAAAACAAAGCGTACAAAAATTGAGAGCACGATACAAACAAATATTACGAGTATATTTATCAGTGCAATGCATTTGTTTTGATAGCCCGAGGTCAGAACCGACGTGTATGGGTAACCCAATTAACTGTTTTCTTCATCTCGAAAAGGTGATCTACACAAAACGATGAATGAGATATATGGTAGCACCGATAAAATCTTAAACGTCTTACGAGATAATTAGACTCATCACAACCACCTCGTTTCCCCCCAACACATCTTAATTTTTACTTCAGAGCAATAACGGTCAGCCCTCTACAGGGTCTCTACAGGTCAGGGTCTACCCCTCATCTTCGTGTGGTCTAGAGGCTCCAGACGGAGAGGGGACACCCCCGGTGGGAAGATGCCATCCGCCTGGAATACCTCTAGAGGCACTCCTCAATTCTCGGCTTGAGGTCCCCTTAGGATCTCGCCGTCCTCAAACCCGGCGACACTGTAAAGGTCATCTGCGACCAACAGCATACACAATAAAAAAACGGTCAACGCTAGAGTTTCGTGCCGCAACTTTAATGGATGTAATTCTTAAGCGGACTTGACGATACCTGGGTCTAACTATTAGTATGTAGTTATAATAAAATTACCGTTTATTTTGTTTACATTTTAGATTATTTTTGGATGTCGGAGGTGTTTTATGTCATGAAAACGAAGTAAACATCTACATATGTAGGCGACGCATTTCTGAGTCTGTGCTTTGATGACTAATAGATTAGGAAAAGAAGATATAAATAATTACTTGTTAAAATCTTCTAAAAATCTTAAAAACAAATTAAAGTTTTATCTACTACTAACGCCATCTGTTGAGCTGGAGGAGAACTAAATTAACTTTTATAATGAAGGTGTTTTTGAATATATTTGTAAATTTAATTTGGTGGTAATTAAAAACAACGCTTTTTTCTGTCGTTACTTAAGATGAACCGCTGTGGTTTTATTTTCTATCCTTTACAACATAGGTAAAGGTTAGTATAACGAAATCCTAGATTAATGGTAGGTATCCAATAAATCTCAATTGAAAATTAAATGAAACTTACAAAAGATTAGATATTATGTTGGATTTATTAGACAGTGTTGTTATTCAGGAGTCACTTAATAGCTTCTAATTTAGAACCGTATGTAGAACGTCGTTTGTTCCCAGCAGTGGAACTGGAATACGACGTGCGTTAATTTTATTACCGCGCTCTTCGATTTGTGTAAATACTATGTCAGTTCTTAGCAATTAGATCAATGCGGGTATTTGTTAACTTATTTTTGTTTATTCTTCATTCTAACATTTATTTATTTATTAGTCATACCCAAATTTTTACACCGAAAATAATTAAACAACATACTTTATACATAAAGGAGATTGCTCAAATTGGCCCAAATTTACAAAAAATATTGACATATACGGTAATTCTTGGCTTAATTTATACTTTATGTTACAGTCATTAGATTTTAACGGACCCCTTTGTATAATATATTCATTTTAAAAAGGACTTTTAATTTTTACCAGTTTGGAAACATACAGATAATCATTTTTAATGGCTATGGGTGTAGTAACATTCAGCCAAAGTTGTTTATATAACATCAAAACAAATCTATTTTGTAAAGATCGATAAAATAAATCATTTTTTATTACACTGTGGTATTAATATCCACAACTATATTATCATTTTCACTACAATGCAAATGTGCTAAGACAATTATTATAGATGGCAAGCGACATCATAAAGTCTATTGCCATACATGTTTCGCCAAACATCTCCATAAACACATTACTTATAAGGTGTGATACACTAAAAATCTAAAATATAGTTATAATATAAACATAACGAAAATAATGAAGCTACTGAAGATATGTTTGTATAACCTAAATCTCTTAGCTTTCTTTGGTTAACGAGTTTAAAAATTCTCTCTTCTTCTTCTTTTATTATGGCATGACGGCTAGAAAAAAAAACTAATCTGTGGCTCGTTTACAATCATCACACAGTTTCTATAACAGAATACCTTATTGTAACCGGAAATGCATAGTAGATACCTGATTTTAAAAGTTAATGATAACTTTAAAAACAGGCAACTATCTGTTAATCTACATGCTCTATATACGTGAACGTAATACATAATTTCTCTACTTGGCTTGATTTTCCTTGTTTACTATATAACTTATTTGTTTTTTATTATTTAATTAGTACCTATTTGCAAACATAACCTCAAAATCATTCAGTGTATATATTTTATAGAAGTTCTCAGGGGTGTCCGTCGATAATATTCGTTTCTACAGTACTTTATATATATAATTTCGAATCTAGGAAACAATTTTTCATGATTATTGGTCTTTAGGTCAAACATGTGTGGAAGCTGAGCAATCTCCTTTGTACAAACAGTTACATTACAACATCTTCATTTAGCGACTTCACGTTTTTTTAGAAGTCGATAGTAATGGCGTTACTGACATGATTCTCTAAACCTGAAATTGGCAAGAGTGTATCCCTCTCATTCTACACAAGGAATAAAAAAGACAGACTGCTGTTAACAATTATAAAGAAAATTTTACAAGAAAAAATTACACACGGACCAGGCAGCAGACGGGACGCTAAACCACACTCTTCGCTATCCGGGCGAATGCACTGACCATTATGTTACCGCGGCCCTGACGGTCGTGTCGAATTTTCTCTAGCTTTTGTCAGGCTGCAATGCAGCGCCATCTCTTCTCATTCTAGGTAACCCACAAGAATTAACCACAACCATTAGAATAGTTAATAGGGTAATACTTAAACCATTTGTCAGTACAGATCGAGATTGGTACGGAGATGGTAAAGCGAGGGGTTAGGGGGGTGCGGGAGTCGGGAATCTGTGCCGAAATGATAAGGAGGCCGACGACCCGCGCCCGCGGCCGCTCAATGCACTACGCACTCCGGCGTTTGTGAAAAAAATAACAAACTGTGTCTGTGGTATCACAGTGAAGGTCGTCTCTGCTCATTTCGGAGATAGTACGAAACCGTGCTTTAATCGTATCTTAAGAGGGAAGGCGCAAATGCTTGTTCCATACAAACGTTCACGACGAAAAAAATTGTGTGTGTCAGCTCCGACGCACGAACGGAGTTTACACTCTAAAAACGATTGTCTTTGAACAGACACAAAACAAAATCAAGTCCGAAGAAGTCGTTTACAAGTAGAGATACCTCAGGAATTGTCCCATGGTTTCGACTATTATAGGTTCCATGTCACACATCATCGATATTCATCATACATTTTATTATGTATTTCTGGAAACACACAATTTCAAAAATATCACACACTATAGTCATCATTTTGTAAATATTTATTATAATTCCATCTGTACTGAAAATCACTATTCCAGAGTGCTGGACACTTACCGGCATTTCTCTATATTCTGTTATTTATTTGTTTTCATTAATTTTGCTCCGATTTTATCAATTTTTAGTTTATTTATTTTATTGACATTTGTGACAACTCAATGTTTTTTATCCGTTGCCATGGCTAAAAGTGAAAGGTGCGCCGATGAGGTTGCGCACAAAAACGTAACGAGGACATTTGTTCAATAGATTTTACTCCTCACATTTTTCTCATACCGGGCCCCTTATATATGCAAATCGATTCTTAAGGAGTAAACTCCAAAAATAGATTTTCATACAATAAATATAATTTTACTCATCCTATGCTCCTATACTTCTAGTAGGGGAACCCAAGCGGGGATTTTTGGATTTACTCGAGCGCGGCAGAATAACATATGGGGAGCAACCTTGCACGTAGTTAAGTACTCCCACTATACCTGAGCCATCTCGCCCGAACGTCTAGGGCAGCAAAAACAAAATTTCAACAAACGGCCATGACTTTTGGTCGGGTCCAAATCGTCAGTCTTTTGAATAGGAGCTACTGGAGGGTTCACGTAACATCCCTTCTCAATATCTGACGCGCTCGGTTATTTTTTTCTATATTCTACCCCTTCGTACGGCCACCCCCATATCATGCAAACCGCGGCAGATCAATATAATTTTTCCGTTCTTAGAAACGTTACATGAACCCTCTAGTAGCTTATATTCAAAAGACTGACGATTTGGGCGCCACCAAAAGTCATGACCGTTCGTTGAAATTTTGTTTTTGCTGCCATAGACGTTCGGCCCTACATAGAGAGTTCAAGTATGGTGGGTGTACTTAACTAGATGCAAGGTTGCTCCCCATATGTTATTCTGCCGCGCCCGAGTAAATCCAAAAATCCCCGCTAGGGCTTCCCCCTACTATTCATTTTTTATAACTTGTATTCCAAAGAAACTAGAAGCCCTGGAAAAGGCCAAAAATAAAGAAAATTTTATTTTATTTTTATTCGGAAAACGTGCAGTGTTTTTTTTTAACAGCAATTAGAACTAAATGTAAAATTTTGTTTAGTTATAATTGCTGTTAACAACACGTTTTCGCATATGACTTCCAATACGAAGCTCATCGCTGAAACTGTACAAGCTGTCATCATCATCATCAGCCTATTAATGTCCCCACTGCTGGGGCACAGGCCTTCCCTATGGATGGAATAGGGAGATTGGGCCATGACCCACCACGCGGGCCCAGTGCGGATTTGCGGGTGCTAACGACTGCAGATGCAGCC